GGAAACAGTTTTTAAGCAATTGTTTAAGGTTCATTTGCGTTTGTTGTTGTGTGTAAACTACTACATATAATTTGAAAAAGATAGATGTTTGTCTAAATAGGGAATGACGTAAACAAGATCACAGCGTATAAATCACAAAATTAATCCCAAAACACTTGAATCCCTTGAGGTAGCAGACACTACTAAGCAAAACAGCTGTCGAGTTCAGCCCAGGTCTCATCATGCAACTTCTGTTTAAAAAGGTTTGTGCATCTCTATTTACCATGGTGTAGGTATGTCATATTCAGATATTTTCAAGGCTAGTTATAGGAAGTGCTAATGTGACCCTAAAAAAAAAACAACAAAATGTATACCAACAATAGATAAAAAAATGTTTATGCGGCAGGTATAGGTGTAACAAAGATGATGATAATCCTTATGAATACATAAGGATTAAATATGATTCAGAGCCAGCTCATGAAAATCGTCATTAGATCTTCTAAAAACCTGTCCTAATGTGGATTGGTTAAATACTAAATATATTGCATGTGTTAAACTAAGTAGACAGTATTGGGTAAATATGTTGCCTGATATTTTGCTCTTCTTTAATTTCTGTTGGCATTATTTAACATAAGTTGTTTTCTAATACTCTGGTATATACTGAGGTGACCCAAAGGTCTCTTTCCTATGCTAGGGTTTATCACACAGACCTACACTTTTTAAAACTAAATAAGTGATCTTCCTTTCAGTTACATTTCTTTAATTCTATTTTATAATGATCAGGGCCACCATTAAAGGGGTACAGAACAAACTCTTGTAAGGGCCCCGTTCAGCTCAAGGACCCACATGGGGTATTGTGCTCATTGCTCTGGTTGGGGAGATAGATATATCTCCCTGAACTGGACTGCATGGTGTAGCAGCATGAGAGGGACCCTTTATTATAAGGGAGATTGCACAGCTCTATCACAAGTGGTATCAGTTGCTGAAGTGATATCACCAAAGAGCTACGTAAATATCATTTAGAACAGAGAATAAACCCATATAAAAGAAAAATACTGCCAGTCCAAAATATCAAGGGGGTAGACACAGCAGAAAATGCTTACTTAATATAATGTTGCTTGTCAGATACAAATCTTGGTACATTCATCCTGGTTCTGGACTGATCCTAAACAAAACATATGTAGTACACCAATATTTCCATTGAAATTCGCACATGGTAGTAGCTCCAAAATAATGCCACAGGTGCACACTTTAAAAAAAAAAAAAAAATAGAGGAAAAAATATAACAAAAATGGCAGCAACTAGTAGCCCACCTAATAAGATGATACCTCCATTATGTGCACCACAAGCCAGTGTACAACTGATATACACATACAAATAGGTGGAAATGAAACACCCTGCATCAAAAAGTAAAAAGGTGGAGGCAGGTAGAGGCAGGTATGGGGGGTGGGTGGGAGAGACACTGGAGATGGTTGTAGAGGAGCCTTAGTCCTAGCACGGACTCTCCTCCACTGGTTTCACCAAATTACAGTCAGGAACAAGTAAAATAATCCAATGGAACAGTCAGGCAGAGCAAAGTAATCGAAGAATCTCCTACCTCATCCCCAGCAAGTGGACGACACTCAGCTCTGGGGGTATAACTGAATTTTATTCACACATACATGGTTTTTATGCCATCTCCCATGCAAGGGGTCTCACAGGCAGAAAATGCAAGGGTTTCAAACCCAGGATCCCTTGTGCCTGAGAGATAATTGCCTGGGTAATCTCCTCCTATTTAATTATCTCTCAGGCACAACAAATCCCAAAAATATCCTGCACCTCAAAAGTCCCCCAACCATACGTAGGAACCCCAAATAAAGTACATTCCCTGATATCCCCAATCTGAGTGAGCAACATATCCAAGAATCACTCAGATCGGTTCGGTAGATCAGATTTGACCGGCTAGACACGAGGTGGTGGCCCAAAATAGTTCCAGGACAATAGGTGCCCTGGCCAGTCTCTGTTCGTGATGTTCCTGTGCGAAAACCATACAAGGGAATCTCTTGCTTTCACAATACGAATGCTCCCCCTGTTCGGTACTTCATATCTCCACGTGCAGCGATCAAAAGTTTACCGGTGTTCGTATGAGTGCCTAGCCGAAAAGGGTTTAAGGCACTCGATGACCAAGTACCGCTGCCCTTGTTCGGGAGACAAGATGTCCGTCATACTCTCTGCCACATGTTCGGTTATACGAATTGCGGCCACACAGGGGGAAGCATTCATTAAATGTTTCTCTTGCAGTTTCACACTTAAGTGGTGGGTGACAATGTTCTAATGGGATACAGGGGTAGTCCTCATTCAGGAGGTGAACGGATTCCATTTGCATGAACTCTCCTGAACAGATAAAGTGTAATCACATGAAATAGATAGGATAAAACACAGTACTGTAACAGAGGGGTGTACGGACAGCTGAGGAAGGGAATAAAAGTTATTGGTGCGGATCCATTCCGCTACAAAGGACATTGTTGAATAGATGTCATGTGAACAAAGATGGGGTAAATATACATTCCTGCATTCTCACACAGACACTCCATGCAAATATACATCTGTATTAACACACACATACACGCCACATATATACTTTGTGTTATTCTGTTATAAGATTAACATAGAGTGGACAGAGTGGCAATTAAGGCATGATCAACATCAATGCTACGGTAGGTTGTAGCATACAAGCAAAGTTCAAGTAATTTTACAAGGCGAAGTACAGTACACCACTACCAATAACAACTTGTATCATTGACAGATAGCAGGATGGATCAATTGATTCATGTTGTTTGCACCAAATTCTAACCTTATCATCTTTATATTGATGTAGAAATCATGACTGGTCAGGCAACATATTTCCAATCTTCTTTAGTACAGTTTTGGTGTGCCTGTGCCCAAAGTAGTCTTGGTCTTCTGTTCTTTACTGGCAAGTCTTTATTATGATGTACTTGGTCTTTTAATGCTATAGCCTATGCAATGCAAAGCTCTGAGATTCTCTTTTGCATAACACTGTTGTAATACATGTTTGTTTCAGTTATTTGTTATAAATGTCATTGGATGTTTTTTTTTGCATCATTATCTGTAAACTCTAGAGACTGTTTGTCAAAACCCAAAAGATAAGCAGTTATTAAAAAACAACAAGGTCACTTAGAACACACACCTGATGCTTTAGTGCAAAGAAACATGCTATAACCCTTCCCTCGAGGCTACATCCAAGGTCAATCCCCATCACCACCTTTTAACCCCCGCACTTCTATATAGTTCTATATTATTAATAAAATCTTTACTTTTTCTTCTAGTTTTCTTTTCTTTTTTTATTTTATCCTTCATCTTATTTTTCTGCTATATACGCATATAGGTTAGCATGAAAAACCAGACCTATAAAAACCATGTATAATATGTGTGGGGATGGTAAATGAAAAACATATGAAATTGTGGTAACACAAACACATAGCAAAATGACCAAAAACAGCACATAAATTCACATAATTCAGGATACATCTTAGTCAACAAGCACATAAAAACAGGGTTTGATAACCAGTTGATAATACTAATGCTTAATGTAGTCTTTCAAGTAAAATAAGTAACACCTGTTATTTAATGATGTATAGCTTTGACAAATATATTATCTCAAATCTTTGTAATCCTTTTGTGCAGAGTCTATGACGACTGAAGACTAAAGAATGGTTCTTTGGCATACAGAGTTATTTATCAAAGTGAGAATTGCCATGAATTCAAAGTGAATTTCAAAATTAAAACCAAAATAGCCAAACTGAAAACAACATTGACTTTGAGAAGTTTTGGAATTTGACTCCTCTGGCATATAATTTGAAATTAACTTTAGTAAATGATCAATTTAAAAATAAATTAAACAATTATCCTAGAAAGCACACTGTTTGCTTGACAAGTCAAAGAAAAACAATATTCAATCCTGAAAATATGTTGTATCTCATCTACAAATATAATCCAAATCTTGAGATTACATAAAAAATAGCATATACAGAAATATAGTAGTATTTAAAACAGTTTATAGAAAAAAAAACACAATTGTTATAAAAAACAGGCAAAGCAAAATATTAATTTTCATTCTTTATAAGCTTATTTTCAAAGTGTGCTCTCCTCGGTCCATCCTCCCTGACCTCTGTCCAGTGGAAAAACTAAAGTAGAGAGAGCCCTGGGGCAAGAATTTATGCTACCCCCCTAGACTCTGATAAAACCACTTCTTCAGGCTTAGAATTCCACATCCTTATTGTTCTTACAGTAAAAAAGCCTTTTCTTTGCCTTAGAAAAAATCTTATTTCTTCCAGTCTAAACGCATGACCTTGTGTCCTATGTAAAATCCAGTTTGTGAATAGATTTCCACACAATGGTTTGTATTGTCCCTGAATATATTTGTATAATGTTATCATATCCCCTCTCAGGCAATGTTTTTCTAAGCGTTTAAATTTGTTAACCTTTCTTCATAGCTGATATGTTACATTCCTTTTATTAATTTGTAGCCCACCTCTTCACATTTTCTAGTGCCATAATATCCTTCTTTAGAATGTGTGCCCAAAGTTGCACAGCATATTCAATATGTGGTCTAATATGTGGTAATGGTATGTAAGAGCCCTTTATTAGTTGAACATACAATGAACTTTGCACATATCCTCCTGTTTTAGAAAATATTTGCATACAATGACTATCATACCCATTAGCTACAGGTGATACTAGAAAAAATAGAATATCGTGCAAAAGTTCATTTATTTCACTAATGCAATGTAAAAGGGGAAACTAATATATGAGATAGATGCATTATATGCAAACCAAGATAGTTCAAGCTGTGATTTGTCATAAGTGCGATGATTATGGCTTACAGCTCATTAAAGCCCCAAATCCACAATCTCAGTAAATTGGAGTATTATATAAAATCGATTAAACAAGGAGTGTAAATAGAACAATATCGGACCTCTGAAAAGTATAAGCATGCATATGGACTCAGTACTTGGCTTAGGCCCCTTTTGCAGCAATTACTGTCTCAAAGCGGCGTGGCATGGAAGCTATCAGCCTGTGGCACTGCTGAGATGTTATGGAAGACCAGGATGCTTCAATAGCGGCCTTCAGCTCTTCTGCATTGTTCGGTCTCATGTCTCTCATCCTTCCCTTGGCAAAGCCCCATAGATTCTCTATGGGGTTCAGGTCAGGCGAGTTTGCTGGCCAATCAAGCACAGTAATCCCACGGTCATTGAACCAGGCTTTGGTGCTTTTGGCAGTGTGGGCAGGTGCCAAGTCCTGCTGGATAATGAAGTCAACATCCCCATAAAGCTCATCTGCGGAAGGAAGAATGAAGTGCTCCAAATTCTCCTGGTAGATGGCTGCATTGACCCTTGACATAATGAAGCACAGTGGACCAACACCAGCAGATGACATGGCCCCCAAATCAACACATACTGTGGAAACGTCACACTGGACTTCAAGCATCTTGCAGTGTGTGCCTCTCCATTCTTCCTCCAGACTTTGGGTCCTTGGTTTCCAAATGAGATGCAAAAGTTGCTCTCATCAGAAAAGAGGACTTTGAGCAACAGACCAGGTCTGTTTTTCTTTAGCCCAGGTAAGACGCTTCTGATGTTGTTTGTTGTTCAGAAGCGGCTTGACAAGAGGAATACAACATCTGAAGCCCATGTCCAGGATCCGTCTGTGTGTGGTGGCTCTTGATGCACTGACTCCAGCCTCAGCCCACTCCTTGTGAAAGTCCCCAACACTTTTGAATGGCCTTTTCCTAACAATCCTCTCCTTGTGCACCTTTTTCTTCCACACCTTTCCCTTGCACATAACTTTCTATTAATGTGCTTTGATACAGCACTTTGGGAACATCCAACTTCCTTCGCAATTACCTTTTGAGGCTTTCCCTACTTATGGAGGGTGTCAATTATGGTTTTCTGCACAACTGTCAGGTCAGCAGTCTTTCTCATAATTGGGATTCCTACTGAACAAGACTGAGAGACCATTTAAAGGCTCAGAAACCCCTTGCATGTGTTATGGCTTACTTAGCTGATTAGAGTGGAACACTGTGAGCCAAGAATATTGCACCTTTTCACAATATTCTAATTTACTGAGATTGTGGATTTGGGATTTTCATGAGCTGTAAGCTATAATCATCACACTTATGACAAATCACGGCTTGAACTATCTTGCTTTGCATGTAATGTGTCTATCTCATATATTAGTTTCCCCTTTTACGTTGCATTACTGAAATAAATGAACTTTTGTACGATATTCAAATTTTTCAAGTATCACCTGTAGAGAGTCAGAGAGGAGAGTAGGTTTAGTGCTCTGTGCTCTCCATTGATTGTACTAGGCATCAGGACATCTGTCCAAGGACATATTGTACAGAATAAGAAAGCTAGTTAATATACTGTCGGTATAAACTCAGTCTGCCATCTAATCTCCTTATTTAGTTTAGTTTTTATAGAGTTAGAAAATATTGAACATTGGCCAAAACTCGACTATATCTGTAATACGTAGGACTATCTTTATCTATACTCCCTTTACTCTAAAGCATGGGTTCTCAACCCAGACCCCCTACCAGTCCAGGATTCAGGGATTACACTGTTGGGTCTAAAGTGTTTGTTCCCCCCCCTAAAAACACATTAGACACAGCAGGGTAATCCCTAAATCCTGGACAGTTCAGGGGTCATTGAGGGCTGAGTTGAGAACCCCTGCTCTAAAGTAAAAAGAAAAATTAAAGATCCTTCTTTAAATGTCCAAGGATCATTTTAAATGTAATATTTTCCATTTCATCATAGACAAATGTTAAGGCATGTGTGCTTCCCTACTTAAGGGAACCCTAGGTCTAGCAATTTGAATGAGACTACTTCCGGGTCGCGCTGGTCACCATCTTGAAAAAATGTACCTGTTTTAACATGGTTCACTTGTTCCTGCTGTTCCTGCCAATGCCCACAGATTTCGGCATCCAAACAGCTCCTTCCGAGCAGACATCTCCAAGGATAGAGCCAGGAACTCACCAAAACTGTAAGCCATCGACCTGCACGTCGCGCCAGTCGCCGTCTTATGGCGTCATCACGAGTCGGGTCTATCTTCACACTTTCAGGTCACATAGCTCTTACGAAACACTGGCTTGTTTTTTTTTTTTTTTTTACAATCTGCCGAATGAGGTTCATGTTAAGCCTATCTCACTTTTCATATTATGGTACAGTTTTTCGAATAAAACTCCTGAACGGGAGCCAATCAGGTTCATTTGTTAGTTTCTCCTTGAAAAACTACACGAAAGCCTGTGACAGGAGGACTTTCGTGCACAGGAACATAAGATTGCAGTATAAGTCAGGCTACAATACTTACCCCTAGCGGTCTCTCTCGGTACAAGCATTTTGTTAAAGCAACAGGATTTCTACATGTTTAATTTAATTAATCTTTCTTATACCGCATTTAAGAATCGTATTCACATAACCTGTCTTACATGTTTAAAATCGTGTGCTTCAGCTCCCAAGCTACTACCTAAGTAGATAATTAAGGACATAGGTTTTCTTTACTTTCTTCCTGTGTTTTCTTCCGTGCAACCATTCACATAAATCTCAGCTTTCCAAGATCACATAGCATGATTGCTAGCAAAGGCTTTGGGTCACCAGCTATTTATAAAAAAAAGCAATTCCGCTTTCAGTCACCACGTTGGGAAGAGAGTTAGTACGATACAAGGAGCTTGGTTTTGCAGGGATCATAAGGATCATTTCAATTTATGTTTTCATACTCCAACACTCTGTTTTACCATTAGATTTCAGGTACAACTAAATCTACTAGCTGGCTTGTCAGCAAAAACCTAAATTACCAAGGTATGTTCACCTGCTCATTACATATCGTATAATTCCTCCCCCTCATTTATCTAGTTAAGAACATACTGGCAACAGGGTTCTAGGAGTCCAATAGGTAATTCAATTCTACGGCCTCCATGCCTTAGGTTAGTGGTCCCGCGAGGCCAACACCCATCCTCACCCCTGGAGGTATACGCCCATCGGGCCAAATCATAGTTAGCCACCTCACATAGTGTCATAGAGAGGGCCTCACCTGTCACTCCCATTCTATCTTAAGCTGTTATAAGTCAGTGAGAGGCCAACACCCCACCACAACATTCGGTGGCCATGGAATCCCCTCACACCAACGAATAGATAGAGCCTTTAAAGCCGCTGGGCATCTGGCAGGGCCTCACAAGTCACCAACTTAGTATAATTGCTTCGCCACATTAGCTAGCAAACCAGTACTACTATAAGATGTACAGGTAGTAATGGTAATCTTTATGTTATTTAGTATGTCTCAAGAAGGTGGTGAAGAGCTATCTCTACCCAGCACTCCGGCTAGATCCGGTATACCTTCACATAGAGGAGACATGGCCAGCCCATCATCTATCAGATCCTGGACTATCCCCCGCATTACTACTGAGCTCAGAAAATATCAGATTCCGTACCCAGCTACCGCTAGGAAAGCGGAACTGTTCAGTCTACTACACACATCCACAGATAATGTGAAGGCAGAGGAAGGCCCAAGCGGTTCTAATTCAGCGGATATTCACTTCATGCTGTCATCACTCATGGCCTCCATGGGGAAGGTCAATGACAGATTGGAGAAACTGGAATCGGTCACTCAAGCTCTGACAACATTCGGGCCTTCCACTGCAGTTCAACCAGTCACTACTGAAACTCACCTTGGTAGTTCAGTGACTACTTCAGATTTAGAGGACGTTAATCTTGCTCACATGATCCCAGCTCATCCTAAAAAAGATATCCTGGAAGGTAAAGATGTTAACCTGGCATCACTCCTAATTGCCTCCCAGGATATTGTAGAGAACAAAACCTATGCATATGGGGATTTATCAGTGGTGATTAAAGCTGAGGACTCCAGGTTAAACAGGAAACTGTCAATCCCTGAGTTTGTCTTAGCTTTTGGTATATATAGGGATGTTGTATGCTCGGTCTACCCAAATAGAAGAGAAGAGTTTGATTTGTACATGCACAAGCTGGTAGATCTAGGCAACAAATATGGACTGAGCAGGATACGGAAGCAGAATTTTGAAACCAGCAGCAAGGGATTTCTTCTCCTTTCCACCGAGAGTGTAACTTCCCAAGATCTGGGGACCTATCGGCCAACAGCGTGCATCACTCAGAGTGAGGTCTGGGACGCACGCCAACCTCACAGCCGACAGCCAGAGATCACAGTATCTGCAACACTGTATCCATATCCATCCTGGACGGTCCCTGCGGTTTACCTGATTCAAGAACTGCCAAATTGCTGGTAATACTCTTGCAATACGTTCCTGGCTCATATTTTTCAAATATTAGTATTATCTGAATATATTTTTAGTGTTTTTATTTAATTTAACCATTATGCCTAATAAACGTTGTATTAATTTTATCTACTCATCTATCCAAACATTTTTATTTTCATTTTAAAGTGATACGGTTATTTATTGACTTACAGAATACAGTCATACATACTGTATGTCTATTACATGAAGTTTACGTCTTTGTCATAAAGTACATCATTTGGTATATACTTTGCCTTATTCTGTTTCTAACAGATTTAAAGATGTATACACCGTATATAATTGTGACAATTTATATCACAAATAGGAAACAGTTCCTCATACCGTTTTCCTATATCACCCTTACAGTTTGAATTTTTGAGCTAAAAGCATATTATTTGGTGTGTAGTAAGTTTGACTCTGCCTCTAGCAGATTTAAAGCCATACACCCCATATATGTAAGTGCTGCATTTCTCCTGAACCATCAGAATATACAAAAAGCCTTTCTGAGTGAATTGACTCCTGGACCCACTGCACTTAATTTCAGGTGCAAATCAAACTAACAAATATGGAGGTCCGGCTTTCTATGACTATCATAGGTCATTTGCAGCTAAAGTGTCTGCAGCTCTCTCTCAATTTGGAAGTAGGACCAACTAGAGCAAATTAGATCCGGAAATTTCCTGCAGACACTTTGCAGGTCTAAAGACACCAGCTTGTGCATCCTGGTCATCTTCTGCCCATAAAACCAATTTTTTGTCCCCGTGCTCCTGTTCCTAGCACCTCTGGTAGAACAGAGAAAATTGCAAAGGACAAGTTAGGTCAACCCATTATCTTCATTGGGAAATCCCAAATATGCAATAATTTCAATGCCGGTACGTGTAGCTTCAGTGCATGCAGGCTGTTGCATATCTGTTCAAAATGTTTCCGGGCATATGCAAAAACCATGTGTCCCAATAAACTG